AACGGCTGTTTGCAGAGGATCCCATTCTTCACCACCCGGACCCAGATAGGCAGTTCATTGTCCAGACTGATGCCAGCGATGTTGCAGTGGCAGGAGTGCTCCTCCAGGAAGACCTCGAAGGGTGGCTGCTTCCTTGCGTGTATGTGTCCAAAAAATTCACAGAGACTGAGCGGAGATGGGCAGTATGGGAGAAGGAAACCTTTGCTGTTTGTTGGGCTCTTCTATCATGGTGGCACTTCCTAGAGGGAGCCAAGATCCCCTTTGAGGTATGGTCAGACCATAAAAACCTCGAAGCCTTAAAGACCCTACAACGGCTCTCCCCCAAACAGGTCTGCTGGGTGCAGTACTGCAAGCGGTTTGATTTCAAGCTGAATTACACCCCAGGGGGGAAGAACCTGCTTGCAGATGCCCTCTCAAGGAAACCCCAATATGACAGCCAGAGGGAGTACGTCATCCATGCCATCATCCCGGACACACAGAGTGCAGTCACTACCTGGAGTCAAGCCAGCAGGCGGACTGATCCCATTGATGGGAGCTAACTGCCGACTTGAAGGCAGCACTATCTACTGATCAATGGCTAGCTGACAATCGAGACACTTTGATGATCCGTGATGGACTAGCTTGGAAAGGTTCAAAAATTATGTCCCAACAGCATGAGACTTCTGGTGCTCCAGCGTAGCCATGATTCTCAATTGGCTGGTCACTTTGGATTTCTAAAGACCCTTCATCTGATTAGATGGCAGTTTTGGTGGCCAAGGATGAAAGCTGATGTGGAGGACTATGTAAAAAGTTGTGCCACATGTGCCAGCAATAAGACAAGACCGGGGAAGCCTCCCAGTTTGCTTCAACAGGTAGCTGAGCCCAGCCGCCCGTGGGAAGAAATAGCTATGGACTTTAGAGTAGAGCTCCCGGAAAGTGGCAGAAATACTGTAATATGGACTGTGATAGACCTGTTCTCCAAACAGGCCCATTTTATTCCTTGTTCTGGACTTCCCTTGGCTAAGAGATTAGCCAAGATGTTTGTCAAACAGATCTACCAGCTGCATAGAGTTCTGTGATGGGTGATCTCCGATCGAGGAGTTCAGTTCACCACTAAGTTCTGGAGGGAGTTCCTGACGTCCATTGGGTCATTTCAGGGGTTTAGCTCAACTTTCCATCCGAGTACAAACGGAGCTGCGGAACGTGATAATGCCATGGTGGAACAGTACATCAGATGTTATGTAGATTACCAGCAATATAATTGGGCTGACTTGCTTCCTTTCGCAGAAGTGGCTTACAATAATGGGTGCCTAGTAGTACGGGGCTGATGCCTTTTCAGATTACGAGGGGCATGGAATTTGTCCCTATGCCAGAACTGCTGAGAGAAGTCTTCTTCCATGACTCTGAATGAATGGATGGAGTCATTAAAGAAAGGCTGGGAGAATACCAAAAAAGCCCTGAATGAAGCGGCCAAAGCATACAAAAAGCAAGAAGATAAACACCGATCTCTCCAACTCCCCTTTTGGGTGGGAGATTGCGTGTATCTTTCCACCAAATACTTATGTTTGAGGTTGAAGAGCAAGAAATTAGGACCAAAATATTTAGGTCCCTTCCCTATAGTGAAAGTGATTAACCCAGTGACTGTACGGTTAAATCTCCCCCACATACTGGGAAAAATTCATCCTCTTTTCCATTGCAGCCTGTTAAAGCCTGCTGAGGGATCTAAATTGAGACCCCAACCTCCTGCTCCCCCAAAGCCAATTGTGGTGTAGGGTGAGACTCATTATGAGGTGAAGAAGATTTTGGACTCTAGATTGCAGAGGGGACTTTTGCAATATTTGGTTCATTGGAAGGGGTACCCTTTGTCTGAAGCCACGTGGGTGAAGAGTTGGGAAGTTCAGGCAGACACCTTAGTTAGGCAATTTTATGATAAATTCCCTGATAACCCTAAGGGTCCTCCTGGGGGGGGGGAGAGGTGATTAATGTGCTAATTGTGTTAACCCCTGACTTCAGTCTTGTCCCAGGATGTGTTCCTTTTCCAGAGGTGGGTTCTAAATATTTTTACTACAGGTTCTGTGGGCATGGCTTATTTTGTGGGCGTGGCTTGATGGTCATGTGACAATTCTTTAGGATTTAGCAGAGGTACTGGTCTACCAAGTTTTTAACTGGTAGACCAGTAGCCTCAGACCCTCTTGGGATCAATCTGCAGCCCTCCCCTGCCTCCTAAGGCGGTGGAGCGCGTGGGGGGGGGATGCTTTTCAAGAAGTCACAGGAGGGCTGAGAGCTGGTTTCTGTCCCACAAGTAAGATTTGGTCCAGAACCAACCCCAACATGAAGGTCTTTTATTTGCTCCTTGTACTCCTTGTCTTTGCATTTTTAACAGGTAATAAATTAAATTTCTGATGATGTTAAAATAGCTCATAACTCACCTTTCTAGACAGCTATTATCATGTCTAAAAGCAAGATACTCTTCTCCATCTTTTGTCTGGAATACCATTTAATCCAGAGCCTTTTAATTTTTTTTTTAAATTTGATTTATATGCCGCCCTTCTCCGAAGACTCAGGGCGGCTTACAATGTGCTCAGCAATAGCCTTCATCCTTTTGTATATTTTATACAAAGTCAGCTTATTGCCCCCACAACTGGGTCCTCAATTTACCTACCTTAGAAAGGATGGAAGGCTGAGTCAACCTTGAGCCTTGGCGAGATTCGAACCCTGCAGTAATTGCAGGCAGCTGGTCTTAATAACCAGCTTAATAACAGGGTGCCTTAAACCCCTGTACTACCAAGGCTCCAAGTTTAAAGAATGGACTTCTGAAATTAAAGCTCCATTTTTTAGCTAAAACTTAATTCACACCTGTTAGTTTTGCTTGAGCAGTGTGAACAATTGATAGTGTGATCCTCCAAAAGTCTGAAAAATATATCATTGATATTTCTTTGGCATTTAAATTAGATAACCAATGTGAAAAAGTGCATCAAGGAAGGACTGGAAAGCCAATTCATACTGAACTGTATTGGGTTTTCTGTTGTTATTTGAATAAAATTAAAAGAAATCAAATAGTGGTACCTAGTGCATAAAAAGAGACGAAATAATGGATCATTCTCAACACTTGAATTCTCTACACTTAAAATATCTAGAATGTCAACTTGCAAAGCTTTCAAGTTGCCATGAGCAGGAGGGAGGGAGAACTGAAGTTTCTTTCGGAAACTTGACATAGAAATTATTATGGTTAAGTGAGTTTTGCCCCATTTTACGATTTTTCTTGCCATAGTTCAAATCAAAGTTCAAATCAAAGATTTGATAGTTCAAATCAGAGATTTGATAGTTCAAATCAAAGATTTCTGAGACCAATGTTGAATACTTAAATTTCAGTAGTCACCAATCCCAGTCTTAAAATGAGTTTAGAATCAGTGGGAGTCAGATAACAATGAACTAACTAACTACTGATAATGAGTCCAGTCCTGCCTTTCTTTTCCTTCTGTCCAAGTTTGGCAAGTACTTTTTCCAAGTATATGTTTTATTCCAAAGTATACAAACCATTATTGTTAGAGAAAAAATGAGTCTTCCAAGCAATTTTAAAAGACACTGTCAGAATGACTCTGCTCTCAGCCTGTGGCTCCTTGAAAAGCATCCCCCCCCCCCACATATGTAAATGAAAAGAATTATTTCCATGCAATCCAATTTCTTACAAATCAATTAATTATATTTACCAATAATAATAAACCAAATAATTTTCCCCATATATTCCTCCAAACCACAACTTAACCATTTCTGCTTTCAACACAATATACAATTAATAGTATCTCAATTATTACAATTCCCTAGTTAAATAGAGCTTTTTTTTCTTTTGTGTTTTAAAATCTTGAACTCTCTTTTGCCCTAAATTTCCCATTGTTTGCACCTACCTTTTTTGGTGAGGAAAAAGAAAAGAAATCTGCCTCTGCCTAATTTTCCAATGCTGCAGCAAACAGCAAAGCCAACAGCCTACTTTACTTTCAGTTTCTTTTTCAGCTTGATTTGCACAAGGAGAAAAATCAGCAAATCAGCTGAGAGTCGGGAGGCCAATCTAATTAATGGGCTAATTAGCCTATGCTGAAGCTGAAAGGAGTTGTTTTTTCTTGCTGTTTGCTTGCAAGGAGGTAACTGCACAGGCCAAAGGATGGGGGCCACCCTCCTTGCCACTTAGCGCCCCCCTGCCACCCCTCTTGCCTCTTACCGCCTCCCTAAGGCATCCCACTGCCCCCTAGGGGGCGGTACCACCCACTTTGGGAACCTCTGGTCTCCTCATTTGTTTTCTTTTAACACTGATCAGCTGTAGGGTGGCCCTTTGAAGCCCCACGACAAGAGTTTAAACAGTTTTTTCCCCTCTAGCCGATCAGCTGGGACTCAGGAGACAGCAATTGGGGGTGGGGCCAAATAAAACGTAAGAATGACGCAGGGGTGGGGGGCGGGGGGGCCAGAACCAGTTCGGTGATGTCATATCATCATCACTACCGGCTCGGTGGAACCCACCACTGTCCTTTTCTGAGGAGGGGGAAGCCTGTCAGTTTTGGAAGACAATTTTCTTTTTTGCTTCTAAACTGCCACATATTTTAGCTGGGAAAGTTGGGAGGGGGCTGTTGTTGGAGCAGTAGAAAGCTAGTCATAACAACATTCCGTATTCAAGGACTTTTGCCTGTGTTTGATGGAGACTGCCTGAAGATTATATCCGGTGGAGTGTGAACAGTTGATTGGACAATGTGATGCACTTGTGGGTGTGAGGGAGGGCTGTGAACTCTTAACTGGGTGGGGAAAACCTGGAAGCTTTCAGGGTTTTTTTTGAGCCATACTCTCTTTGTAAGACTGGAGAACGTGGTGGCTGCTTTACCAATACATTTATTCAGCTCAGTATCTAAAGAGAGAGTATCGGATATAGTTGAACCGAGGTACACAAAGTCATAGACGACCTCCAGTTCTTGTGCAGAGATTGTAATACAGGGAGATAAATCCACGTCCTGACCCATGTCTTGTGTCTTTTTCAGGTTGATTGTTAGCCCAAAGTCTTGGCAGGCCTTGCTAAAACAGTCCATAAGTTGTTGAAGGTCTTTGGCAGCATGAGCAGTAATGGCAGCATTGTCAGCGAAGAGGAAATCTCGTAAGCATTTCAGCTGGACTTTAGACTTTGCTCTCAATCTACATTGATTAAAGAGTTTTTCTTCTGATCTAGTCTGGAGATAGATACCATCTGTTGCAGTTCCAAAAGCATGTTTCAGCATGACAGCAAAAAAGATCCCAAATAAAGTTGGCACAAGGACACAGCCCTGCTTCACTCAACTTCAAATGTCAAAGGAATCTGACATTCAAAACTACAGTGCCTTTCACTACCATCAAAAACTACAGTGCCTTTCATTTCCTCATGAAAGGACCTAATGATGTTAAGAAGCTGAGGTGGACATCCAATCTTGGAGAGAATTTTATAAAAGCCATCTCTACTAACAAAGTCAAAAGCCTTCATAAATCATAACAACATTCCGTATTCAAGGACTTTTGCCTGCGTCTGATAGAGACTGCCTGAAGATTGTATCTGGTGGAGTGTGAAGAGTTGATTGGACAATGTGATGACCTTGTGGGTGTCGGGCAGGGCTGTGAACTCTTAGCTGGGTGGGGAAAACCTGAAAGCTTTCAGATTCGGGTTTCCCAGATGTGCCAAGATGACATCGCTAATAAATTGGAACTTCGAGGAACCTCAGGTCTCAGCGCTTTATTTTGTTGAGGGTGTACCTTGGAACCCTGACAGTAAGCATTGATCAGAGTTTGCATTGAAGGAAAAAAAATCCTGAGCAGTTTAATTTATAGGTCTGAAACATCAGCAAGATTATAGCTGATTAAGTCTGTGTGTCTACAACATTAAAACAACAAGGTAAACATATCAAGAAAGCAGATGGTTAAAGAATGGCATATTACCTGGTGTTATTTACAAGCTATCATGATTAATTGCTAAAAATGAAAGGTCGCATTGAGGTTCCTATTCCTGCTGTGAATACATATGAAGTTATAAATAAGTCTATCCTGATAGTGGTTGCTGTCTATGTGTCATAAAGGTGATCAACTGTCCCTGTGAACTATGACAACGTGTGCAGCATGTCACTGGAAGTATCAGGTGGTGTGCAGCTTCTGGGCTATATTCTCACCTTCAGTGATATGAAGTTTACATTTTTCCATAAGTAGAAAGATATCTGGCTATTAATACATTCTAATTATGCCTTACCAGTGGCAAGGAAATCCAGGGCCACGTTTAGTTCTTCTAAAGTTGGTTTACTATCAAGCTTCTCCAGGACAGGCAGGCACTCAATGTTATTTAATGCTTCTTCAGTTACCATGTTTTCTCTGGAGTATAACTCAGAGTAATGTTGCACCCAGCGTGCCATCTGCTGTGTTCGGTCCTGGATAACCTCACCTGTAGCGGACTTCAGAAGGGCAGATTTCTTCTCTGTTGGACCTAAGGCGTGCTTGATGCCATCATACATCCCCTTGATATTGCCTGTGTCAGCTGCTATCTGAACCCGCGAGCAAAGCTGCAGCCTATAATCGTTAGCACATCTCCTAGCGATGTGGATTTTGCTACGAGCAGCTTGCAGAACCTGCAGGTTGCGCTCACTGGAACAGGCTTTATATGCAGTTAGATCTTTCCTTTTTTCCTTGATGGCTGGCATCAGCTTTTCTGAATGGGCTTCAAATCAATCTGCTGTCTTTCTGATCTCCTTACCATATATTGAGAAAGCAGTATTATAAACAGCATTCTTGAAATATTTCCATCGTTCAGTTGCATTTGCTTCAGCTGGGCCTTCCTTAAGTGCTTGTGCAAATTCCTCCACTTGCCCTGATTGCAGGTCTTGTTGATGTCAATTTGTGGTCTTCCTTCTTCGAGTGATGCAATCTCTTTACTTGCAGGGGTTTTTTTTGAATTTTTTAAAAACATAAACATAAAATACATCTTTTCAAAATGAAGCATTGATCTGGTCATAAATTGGTACAAATCACTAACAAATTTTAATTTTTAATTAACACAACTTAATATTTTGCTCAATTATTTCCCTAAATTCTGTCTATCTAACAATGCCATTATCCCAAAAACCCGTTACTTAAATCTTTAAATCCTAACCAAATATCATTTCATTTTTCTTTTTCTTTTTATTTAGATGAATGTATTTTAAAAGTATAAATCATTACAATTGTTATAAGCATTTAAACAATATTTTCACTGTTGCTCCCAATATAACCATCTTCATTGCTGCTTATCCCAACATTATCATCCTAATTTTAATTATTAACCCCAACATAATTATCTTATTTTTAGTGCTAATCCTAGCACAATCATCTTTATTTTAACTGTTTATCCCAACACATCATCTTCATATTCATTTTATCATCTTCATTTTACTGTTAATCCCATCATAATCATTTTATTTTTACTGTTAATCCCAGCATAATCATCTTTGTTTTTGCTGTTAAACCCAGCATAATCATTTCATTTTTACTGTTAATCCCAGCATAATCCTCCTTATTTTTGCTCTCATACCCAGCATAATCATTTTTATTTTTGCTGTTAATCCCAGCATAATCATCTTAATTTTACTGTTAATCCCAGCATAATCTTCCTTTTGTTGTTACCATCCATCTATACATTATTTATTCCCAGTTAATCATATTATCATTATCTTTTTTTATGACAATTTAACATTGAGACATAGTTTTTTCTTCAAATACATCTTTGTATGCATTTATGAATCTCTTTTAACATAATTTATTTCTCTTACATTCTAATTTCCATCAGTATTTCAATTATATATCTATAACATATTCTTCTCATATTCCTATTCATCCATATTTATCTATAAGAACCTCCTTTTTATTATTACTATCCGCCTATACATTGTTTTTCCATTTTTAATCACATTGTTTTAATCTTCTTTTCCTTTTTCCAGCCGTGTATACCTTATTTCTTCATGTTCTCACCTACTAGCATATATTCCATTTCATCTTCAGATTTTGTCTTCCATGTATCATTTTAATTCTTTTTCTTACTTTTATTCTGGATAAAATGTATCAAGTTTTTCCTTCTCTTGTTCCTGCACCAGATCCTTCTCTTATTCCTGTGCCAGTTTTTAAAGTTGTTATTATTCCAATTGTAAGAGTTCCATTATAGTTTCCCTTTCTTTTCACCAAAGTCAAGTTGCCTGCAGACAAGAAGAAAAACATCCTCCACAAAATCCCATGGCTATTATCTGTAGAGTTCACAATTTTCCATACCAAAAAACAAGTTATAATGTTCCTTTTTGAACCAGAAGATGTCTCTCTACAATCCACAATTTCCATTAGTCATGCAAGTATCCGTTTTGTTTCAATTATACTGTATAACAGCCCAACTTGATTACTCTTCTTCTTCTTTTAATTTTAAAAATATGAAATCTTCTTTTTAAAAGTCCAGCTCAAATTTTAAAACTCTGTCCAATCTTTTCATCATGTCTCAAAATTTAGTTTTTTCAATTGGTTCTGTTCAAAAATTACTTGTTTATTGGATCTTTGTCTCTTTAAAGTTACATTTTAAACTTTCCATTGCCCCTTTGTTGTACAGCTGCTGTTTTATGGCTAGGGATCTTATGGTTAAAAATATTGCTCTAAGTGATGTTACAAGCCTAGGTTGGTTGTCACTCACCCAGCTTCAAAGAGCTCTGTTTCTATCCACTTTCCTCCTGCACATCTCTTAGCCCAGTTGTCCCAGCTTCGTGGCACCCACCATGGCTGCCACCCCCTGCTGCCGACTCACAGAGGGTTCCGTCTGACCTCCGAGGAACTTGCCTGTTCCTCTTGGTCGTCCGAGGTGCCCCTCTTTCTTCCCTGTCCCTGCAGGATGGTTCCAGTCCAAAGACCCATCGGCAGCAGTTTGGCAGCCGGGGTTTTCGCGGAGCTCATCAGAGCCCGCTATTTCCCCGACTGTCTCACTGCGACGCCAAACCGGAAGTCCCATTACTTGCAGTTTTATTCTGCTGCACACCAAGGAGTGGTCTGTATTGCAATCAGCACCCTGATAGCTGTGTGTGATTGTAATATTGGGGAGGTTGGCATGCCTAGTAAGACTCAAGTTGAGCTGGAGCCAATGCTTCGATCTTGGATGTCTCCAAGAAACTCTGTGTTGAGGCTTTGTTTTAAAGTATGTATTGCTAACGCAAAAACCGTAATAACAGCAAAACCCCAGCAGGCTTTGGCCATTTTCGTTCATCTTTGAAATGCTGAACTGACCTAGACAGGTGGGCCAAGAACTATAATCAGCTCCAACTCTGTCATTAAACAGTGGTTCTTTCTCAGGGATTTTCTTGATAGTAACAGCCAGATTCTTGTAAAATTTATCTTTGGATTCTGCTGAAGATGGATCGTGTTGGTGCATATGCATTGATAAGAGTAGCCAGCCCTGCTGATGAGTGGAGCTGCATGGACAAAATTCTTTCACTCCCTGCAGCAGGTGGAATAATAAATCCTAGCAGGGTGTTTCTGACTGCAGAGCCAACCCCATATTCCCTAGACTTGTTTGATGGTTTTCTTTGCCAGAAGAATGAGAAGTTTCTGTCCTTAATAGATCCTGAGTCTGACAGCCTTGTCACTTGAAGGGCAACAATATCCATCTGCAGTCTGCTCAGCTCCATGTCTATGACAGCTGTCTTATGTACGTCATCTATTTCTTGTAAATCGTCTGAAAGACTAGGGGTCATTGTCCGAACATTCCAAGTGCCCAACTTTAGGGCTAAAGTTTTCTTATGTTTGTTGCATGGTGCAAAGTTATCAATCTGCTTGTTGGCTTTGACCCTAAACCCCATGCACCATGTGTGGCTCGCAGACTGTGGCGGGGCAGCACCTTACTGGCTGGGGGCTGCCCAGCTTAAGATGAGTGGTAGCTGCCCAATGAGGTTCGATGACCTCTCCCACCGTCGAAAGTGGCCCCTGGTATCACGCTCTATGCCAATTGAGCAAAGACTTATAACCGGTAACTGCCACTTCCCGTGTTGTTTCAATGCTGTATGCAAAGCTGGAGTGTCCTCTTCAGTGCACAAAGCCTGGGTATATTAATATAGACTGTTACCCAAGCAGCAGATTCCCCCCCTCTCCACGTTGCTGGAGTGTTTAGAGTTTAGAGTTTATTGGATTTCTATGCCACCCTTCTCCCAGGGGACTCAGGGTGGTGTACAGCCACATTAAAACACATGAATTTATAATGAGGCCCTAACAGAATCCAAAATTCCAGAATCATGGAGAGAGGCGTATATTACTCTCCTCCAAAAAGAAGGAGAAGACCCAAAATTAATTAAAAATTATAGACCGATCTCCCTCCTGAATACGGACTACAAAATCTATATGGGTATCTTAGCAGGAAGGCTAAAAATAATTTTGAATAAATTAATACACAGTGATCAAAATGGATTCCTCCCTGGGAGGCAAATCAGGAATAATACAAGGATGATAATAGACATATTGGAATACTATGAGGAACACCTGAACAAAGAAATGGCATTGGTCTTTGTCGACGCCCAAAAGGCATTCGACAATCTTAATTGGCAATTTATGAAACAACAAATTATCCAAATGGAATTCGGATCAAATTTTGTCAATACGATATCCACAATTATCAAAAACAAAAGGCTAACATATTACTGAATGGAGAATTAACTAAGGCTTTCCAAATTAGAAAAGG